GGAGAGGCCAGATGCGAACGCAGGACCGGCCGCTCCGCAGCCATGTTGGCCAAGAGGTGCCAGTTATTTCTTGGTGTCATTTGAAAGAATTTTGGGTGTCACAAGATGTGTTTTGGGTGTCACAAGAGGCATTTTAGGCGCCACAAGAGGTGTTTTGGGTGTCACAAGAGGATTTTAGGTGCCACAAGAGGCGTTTTGGGTGTCACAAGAGGTTTCTTCGTGGCACAAGAGGTTTTTGGGTACCACAAGAGGTTTTTGGGTGTTACAAGAGGCGTTTTGGGTGTCACAAGAGCTTTTTGGGTATCACAAGAGGATTTTGGGCGCCACAAGAGGCATTTTAGGCGCCACAAGAGGATTTTGGGTGCCACAAGAGGCATTTTAGGCGCCACAAGAGGCGTTTTGGGTGTCACAAGAGGATTTTGGGTGCCACAAGAGGCGTTTTGGGCGCAGAAGCCCCTTTCTCCCGCACAGCTTTATTTCTCCTCAGGAGATGTCGTTTGTCCTGCCCCCATCCTGTCCCTCCGGCCGTCCCGACGTCACCCAGCTGCCAGGCTCAGATAAGGCCTCCAGGGACCGATAAGCAGCTCTTCCCCTTCTCCTCCCTCCTCTGGAGCAGCAGGGAAGGATGAGGCTCCGCTTCCACAACCCCGTTAAACGCACGGGAACGCGGAGCCGCTCCCACCCCCCTGCCAGGCTCCGGGAAAAACATTCATCAACGCAAATCTTTGGTGAAAAAAAAAAGTGAAGAAATCTTTGGTGAAATAACAACAAAAACAACAAAAAAAAAGTTGTTTCCCCTCCTCCTCAGCTGAGGTTCCAGGGTGCAAAATGCGATTCTGTGATGTGGCAAAGTCACGGCCTGCAAGGACAGGTAGGAATTTGGCTGCGGAGCTGTTTTCATTGGAAAACAAAAGGGTTTCTGTGACAGCGCGGAGCCAGCCCCAGCTCCGGGCTCGGAACTCTTTTCAGCCCGTGGGAGCCGCAGGATGTTCCTCACAAGGTCCCTCCAAGCCAGCCACAGCTTTTCCCACCCTTCCCAATCAGGCAGCTCGTGGTGCCAAACCCCAGAAAATTGGGAGGACAGGACAAATCAATGACTTCTCCTCGTTGTCTGGTGGCTTCTCCCTCGTCCAGGCGTTCCCAGAGGATGCAGAGCAGCAGGAAGAGGCGGCAGGAATCCCGCAGGAGCTCTGGAAACTTCTCCACGCTGATAATGAAGTAGAAAGGGAGGGGAAGAGGCAGCTCCTGCCTGGCTCAGGTTCTCCCTGCCCTGAGCTCAGGTGTCGGCAGCTGCCGGCGATTCCAGCGCCGTATCCGTGGCAGGAGCTTCGGAGCGGATCAGGTTCAGGGATTTTTTGCTGGCTGGGGAGAAATGATGATGTCAAAACAGGAGAGATGTTGTCACACCAGTGTGTCCCCTGGTGGGGTCAAGGTCCGTCAGTCCGTCGGAAAGCCGAGAACAGGCAAAAAAAACCCCAACAAAACTCTTGTGTTTGGGGTCAGAGCTGCAGACAAAAGGCTCTTTGTGCCGAGAGCTGACAATGACAAATAAAGAGGAACCTGTTGATCTAGGAGAGGAGAGGAGGATTATGGAAAGATCACGTGGTGAGGGAGGAAAAGGCCTTGGCTGCTTGTCTGGCCGTCGGAATGTTCCGGAACGTTTGTTCCCAGAGACGCCGGCTCCTGCTCGTGGCCTTCCTTGTCGGCCTGCAGAACGCTCCCGGTGGAGCTGCCCCGGAGCCCAGACGCTCTCAGCTGCTTTTCCTCGCTGGAAATCACCGTTTTTCACAGGAATTCCCATTTGCAAACCTCTCCAAAACTCTGGAACGCGGCCGGCCCCAAATGCAGGACACAAAGACAAGCCAGCGACGAAACGCCCGTAATTCATCAAAGTTCCTGGAAGGAGCCCAAAAGCCGTGTCTAATGCTAATAATAAACACATTTCCCAAAGGTTACGTTTGATTTCTCTCCAAAACAAAACGTTATTTTGAAGTTCTGCCTGGCCGTGGATTAACAGGGGAGGTTTAATGTGTGACTGAGTTTGTAAAACCTTCAGCCAGCTCTGGAGAAACAACCCCGCTCTCCACAAAGCTCCAAAACGCTTCCCAGAAAACCTGGAAAAATAATTAAAAAAAAGAATTTAAAAAAATAGGGAATGGTTCTGGGTTTGTGGCCAGGGCAGGGCCCGGATGGGTGAGCACAGAAAATGCTGGAATTCTTATACCGAGCATTGATGGGCTGCCTAAAATGACCTCAGAGCTGGTGCAGGGAAGGATTTTAAAACAAAAAAATCTATTAGAGCCCATTGTGTGCTGGAATGCAGCCAGGGAATCTCTGCTCAGGGAGACCTGTGGAAAAGGAGGGGAGTTGGAATAAATCAGGGCTGTTGTGGGCGGGGAAATCACAATGTTTCCCCCCTGGTTTTATTTATCTTTATTTAATTTATTTACCTTTATTTTCCTTTATTTATCTTTCTTTATTTACCTTTATTTATTTATTTTTACCTTTATTTACCTTCATTTCTTTACCTTTCTTTACCTTTATTTCTTTACCTTCATTTACCTTTCTTAATTTACCTTTATTTACCTTTATTTACCTTTATTTTCCTTTATTTTCCTTTATTTATTTACCTTTATTAACTTACCTTTATTTCTTTACATTGATTTATGAATTCATTTATTTATTTCCCTTTATTTCTTTCCCTTTATTTCTATAACATATAATATATATAATATTTATATATTTTATTTTATAATATATTTAATATATTTTATTTTATTTATAACCATTTTACAGAACCCCAGACCAAAGCAAACTCCGTGATTCCTTTCCCTCCATTCCTTTCTCTCCTTTTATTTATTTCCATTTATTCCTTTCCCTCCATTCCTTTCTCTCCCTTTATTTATTTCCATTTATTCCTTTCTCTCCCTTTATTTATTTCCATTTATTCCTTTCCCTCCATTCCTTTCTCTCCCTTTATTTATTTCCACTTATTCCTTTCCCTCCATTCCTTTCTCTCCCTTTATTTCTTTCCCTTTCCAGCTGCAGAGTCAGAGGATCAGGAACTGAATCCCAAAGGGAGAGGCCCCGTGGCTGTTCCGCCGATAACGCACTGGGAAAGGCTCTTCCCTTTTCCCGCTTTTCCGTAAATTCCCGAATTTCCAGCGGATAACGGGGCAGTTGTGGCAGCAAGGAGACCCCTCAGGATCCGGAAAGGAGAGCGCAATTCCTTGGAGCAGCACTCCAATAAATAATAATAATAATAATAATAATAATAATAATAATAATAATAGTAGTAGTAGTAGTAGTAGTAATAGTAATAGTAATAATGGTAATAATGGTAGTAGTA